AAACAGTAAAGTTGTAGGCTGGAAAACCAAAACAAAGAGTTTTCAGAGTTCCACAGTAAACCTTTCCTTCTTTGTTGTATCTGTTAAGGAGGAACAATTGACACCTTTATCAACCCAATCAATGCACGATGGCCTGGAACATCATGTACTGGCAGCAGAGCTCTAATCAGCCTAAATGAAAGCACCTGAGTGGATGTGCAGGGCCTTTAAAATAATGCCACAGGCAGAAAATCATTGACTTGCCATCTGTATTTTATTCATATGAACTTTTATTAGAATTGACAGATGATTTAGGAAAAGACTATATTTAGCCTTCTAGCATTTTGAATCATGATAAACATCTTTCATGATACATTATGAGACTTAAATCCCCTAGTAAGAAGAAACTATTCCTGGGACTTTTGTTTTCTACAACCAGCTCAGTGTGAGGTATGATGGATGAACAAAATAATGCAAAAACCACATAAAAAAGATTTAACTTTGAAGCAGTGACTTTAAGATTACAAAGGTGATTACACAGCTGAGTCACATTACATTCTCTGGTTATTCCCAGCATGTGTCATTGCTCTAATACCTACAGGATCAAAAACCCAAACTGCAGTGGCACAGCAAAGCACCTGTTGTAAAGTTAAGCACACGAAAAACTGATATTGACTCATTTGTTTATCACAGACTTTGAAAAGGCAGTTTATCATTTGTAGCTGTTAAGTTAAATACCTTACCTACAGTACCCAGTGTAGGACTTGGCACAAAACCTTAGCTATTAAAGAAACACGCTAAACAAATTTCAGAAGGTACACCTATAGAAACTCATGTTCAAAAAAGGACTGAAGCTGAAGGTTCGTCAGGACAGATGGACAATTTTCTGCCTGTGTATTACATGTGGTAGGAATCTGATCTGTTTCTCAGTGATATATTAGGTTCAGCTGGATATTGATATTTATATACACATACAATCAGTCTGAGCATTTTCAGTTTAGAGTATTAAGAAAATTATTGTGTGAAAATTGTGTGGTGGAGTGTATTTCTCATTAGCAAACTTTAAAAAGAGTCCAGACGACAGCATGGATGTAGCTACAGTCTGACTACTAGCAGCTGCTGCCATACAGCATGTAAAGCACGTCACAGAGGAGCACAGCCTTGTTCTCCCCCTCCACCTCTTCATGCATCCACAACTCCTCCACACTCTGCTTTTTATTACCCTGTGCCGTGGCACCTGTAGGGACTGAGGCAGGGATGTATACACAAGACAACCAAGACCATCTGCAGCCTCTGAATGTTGGCCAGAGTGTGACACATTCTTCATTGGTCATGGCCCTCTTTGTCATGTTATGTTTTATGCTGACAGAGTGGGAACAGCAACAAGAAGACAAACAGCCTTTATCAATTTAGTTAAGTGACACTTTACCCTTAGTAGAAATTAAATCTGCCTGTGATTACATATTTGTTATTGTTGCTATAAAAAGGGATATTGTTTAAAAAGGATTTAGTTGTTTAGAAATTCAGAATATGATTGTAACTTGGTGGGACATAAACTGTAAAGAGTACCACCAATCACACCCTTCACACCCTTGGATGTGTAATGATAGTGTCACTGACATCAGGGTGATTAGCAGTAAAAAAAAAAACTAAAAGGTGGAGCAACAGACTTCTATTTTTCTGCAGAAGGTTAAATGTGGGCAAAATTTAGATATATTTTGTATATTTAAAATGGCAGTATGCAGTATTATTCAAATATTTGAGTAAAAACATCCCCCAAAGCCTATCTTTATGGTCTCATCAAACAGCCTAGCAGCAGTGCAGACATATTCCCTTCTAAAGGTTTTTGACTGTGTGTGGAGAGGAGGCGAGTGATTCAGGATTCACATGCTAGTGGCAGCTGAACTTTAAAATAACACGAATGGTAGCTTTAATAAGCATAGTTGTAGTTTTAAATGGCATTTAAAAAGTGAATCATTTTGTTGGCCTTTTTTCATCTCCAAAATGAGAAATCTAAATTTGATCATATACAACAACATAAAGCACATGGTGTGAGAGCTACTATAGAATTTCATTGTTTGATCATAGCAGGATTGAAATTTAAATGCTCTAAAAGTGGAATAAATTCAATTCAAGTACATTTTTTGGAAAGCCCAATGTCACCAATTTGCCTGAGGGGGGCTTTACAAGCTGTACAGCACAAGACGCCCTCTATCCTGTCTGACTGGATAAAGAAAAACACCCCAACGGGGGGATAAAATGCAAGGAACCTCAGAAAGAGCCTATTAGTTGTAGTTAGCTGTAGCTTTTTTGCATAGGACCTCCAATCTCTGGTGTCATTCATATTTTAACAATGAACCAAATTAATACATGTTAGATAGAGAGGCTACCTGTACTGATGAGGAAACAGGAAACCATCCACCCAACTCTGCAGTTTAACTCCGCTTTAATCGAGCTCCCTACAGCCTCTGCAAAACTTGGCAAGTAAAATGTTAATATAATCTTTAGGAATGCAGAAATGATTTCTGAAACTATGAAGATAAGCCCAGTGTTTTTACTCCTTCACATTAAAGTCTTGCACGAGATGCCTGTTTCTCTAAGGTAAAAATGCTACCAACAGCTAACTTTTTAGTTTTGTTTAAAGCTTAGAGGATTTTGATATGATGTTGGTGTCTGTGCAGTTCACCACATTAGAAACACCCCTGTTGTAGTGACATCTGAGGTGAACTAGAACATGCAGAGAAATTAGCTGATTGTTTTTAATCGAATAAATGTGAAGTCATTGCTGTGTGTGTTGTGTTTTGAAACAGTAATTTTACTCATTCTACTAAAAATTTGCCTGTTTATAATATAAAATGCAATGCTGTCCTTGTCTGTAGTTGTTTATCCAAAAAAACGTTGTGCACCAGAGTTGCATCTCAGCTGGAATATATTTACAAAATGAAGGAAGTCATCTAATAAGAGGGTGTAGCTGCCTGTCTGTCTGGCAGTTTAAGCGAAGACAAAACATTAATAAATAAATAAGGAAAACAGTCTGGCCCTATCAGTCTCACACTCAGTCTCCTCTGGCTTATCATACTCTATCCAACCATAATGTGGTGCCAAAGCCGTGCAGCAGAACCTGCACTCCAACGTGCTATACTCCAATCAAAAACACCTGGCCTCGAGGTTTGGAATAGTCACAACATTACAGCACATAAATGAGCCAACTACTCCATATAGGCCCCATTATTGTTGGACTGATGAAGATTTCTGCTTTTTTTCTGCAGAGTTTTAATATTGCTGTAAGACACAAGATCCAGGGCTAAACATAACAATTCAATAAATATTTCTAGAATATAATTTTACAATCACCTGGGAAACACCCACAGAAAAGGTTTTGGCACTTGACACCTTTTTCAGTGTTTTAGAGGTTATGCTTCATGACCCTTTTAATGTAATTGTAAGATTTAGCAGGACTCCAAATTTACACTTCTGGTGCTTGTTAGCTGAGATGTTGTTAAAATCAAGGGGCATGATTTCACTCAAGCAGTAATGAAAAACAATATGATGTTGTTTTGGTCCACCCTCTCTCCTGGACAGCTTTATATTGATGTCACAAACAACACTGGCCAAGAAATTATACCTCAACACACTGGTATACTATAGCACTTGACATAAACCTTTGTCTAGGCAATGATGGAATACAACATACTGAGATAATCAACAGTGGTTCCCACTTTTATTGGAAAAGTGTGTCAGATAATGAAAACAATAGAGCTCTAACATTCACTCAGAATCAGCAGATGCAACAAGTTGTTTGACTTCTTTTAGTAACAGAGATACGTCTATCACAAAGTGGAAGCATTGACTGTAAAAATAACTTTGGGGGAGTCAAGTTTCACCAAATACAAGATGAGGGGAGTAAACAAAGAAAATGTGATATATAAATATTTATGAAAGCAGAAAAAGATTTGGACAAAAGTGCATTGATGTTGTAATATTAATGGGAATACAATAATAAGAATTTTCCTTCTTATTATGACCAAGCTGCTGGGTCGGGTCTCTGGTTTCTCCCCCCTGCCGTGCCCTGGCACCCAGCAGCATCCCCACAGAGATAGTTTCCTTGCTGTGATGAGCTTTTGACAGGCCCCAAAACAGCCCGCTTAATGCTGTGCCAGGCCAGACATAGAGCGGCTGGGATGCTGGCAGCTTCTTGGCCCACACCACGAGGGCCTCAACCCATTTTACCCCTCCTTTTCAGCCCTTTCCACCCTTTCTTTCTAGTGCCTCAGAATTGTTATGGAAAGCTTTCCAAGCAGAGATTGTGGGAGTTCTTTCAAGTGCACATGTATCCACATCATATTTGTACAATCTCCCGTCGCAGTGAGAGACGTGGGTCCGACCAGGTGCTAGACTGTGGCTTCACCTGGGACATGTACCACACCTTTGAGGCTTTGAGAGTGGAATCAAACTTTAGCTCTTTGTCACAAATAACCTCTGACCATTACTGGCTGATCCACCACATTGCCTTGAACATGGCGACTCCACAATCCATAACAATTTGGATTAATACAAGTTCCTTATAGAAACTCAGCTGCTGATAATATGTAAAATGACAAATTTAGAATAACCACAGAAGAAAACAACAAATCTCATGACATGCTTTATGTCAGTAAAATGACAGCATGAAAACTTGACGTAAGACTAAAAACTCAGGCTGCCGAGTCAAAGAACAGAGATACACGACTGCCATCCAGTGCTGAACTATGAGTACTGCCTGCAGAGACTTAAACATCGTCCCTCTGCTACAAGATGTGTCTACACAAGGATAACTCATTATAGCTATACCAGGCCTTTTCCATTTGTGGTCAGTTTTATGGCTTTTGAACTGTAAACATTGTTCCAGGGAAAAGGAAACATGTCTATTGTGACTTTCTTATCTCACAGAAACTCCGTGGGCTGCGCTTTCATTAAACCTGTAGGTCAGTTAAGCACTGGCCAAAAAAAAAAAAAAAAAGTGCTATAAAAGTTTTTTAAAAAATGCACAAGTATTTTATTGTGCAGTACAAATTATCAAAAGTATGTTCTCTATGAAACAGACAAAAAAATTGTTAAAGTTTAAAGAGTATTGATTATGCTTATTAAATGCTCTTCATTATGAGTGGATGGAGATGAAGAAGAGTTCTGGGAAAGATACAAGACAAGGGCAGCTGTTGCTATAAGCAAAGAACTGGAACTTTAAACAACATCTGAAAGTGTGAAATAAGGCAGGGCTACTCAGATTTTCACACTTAACAGTTTACCATGTGTAAAACACCGTGGATACAGCTGCCAGTGGCCACACAGGCTTTCGCTGGATGAAAGCAATGGGTTTATCTAATGAACCCTGGTAAACATAGGAAACTGAGGAGAACAACAGAAAACTATTTCTTATTTCAATTTATTGTAAAGATTTAATTGATGCTAATTCATATATGACGTCCAAATATGTTTTGTGTTATTTTTGCCCAAAACAGCCTGCTTAATGCTGTGCCAGGCCAGACATGGATTAAAATACATTTTGTGGCCTAAAGAGCCTTAAATGATTCTGATCCCTCGTATATCCTCGATCTTTTACATCCCCATGTTCCTATTAGAATGCTTAGGTCTAAGAACCAGTGCCTCTTCTTTTGCAGCCCCTACTTTGTGGAATAATCTTGCTCTGCATATTCGATGGCAGTCTCACTGTTTTAAATGTCAACTTAAAACAACTTTATTCATTTGCTTTTAATCAACGACAAGTTTTTAATTCCAGTTTTATGAATTGTAGCTACATAGTCATGCACTGTAATTGATATCTTGGTTTTTACCCATTGTCATTCAGCCTTCTTATCAGCACTTTGCGTCACCAGAGAGTTTTGTATTTCACATAAAGAATTTTGGTGAGATAAGACTGAATTAAAGATGCCTAGCAATTATCTACTACCTGCAAATCTGGCAAAACTGCAGTAAGCCAACACAGCAAAACCTCTGTAAAACACCCGGCACTATTCAGGCCACAACAGATCAGATTCTTCCAGTATCTGTGTACAGTAATACAAAGACAAGCAGTCACAGGAAATACTACATGATGTCTACATTCACATGCAATAACCTCTGGTGATTTTAAAAATTCAAAACAATCTCACAAATGTGGAAATGCAATAAATTAGTTTTATAACTAGCACTCAGTGCCAGACACCTCAGTCTTTTTATTTTCCTTCTACAGATTCACACACCAGTCAGGGATTGCTTCACTGTCTACTCTACTGGTGAGACAGCTGTAGGACTCATGAATGTTGCAGCCACATTTCATACTTTCTCAAGCAGTCAACAGTCATGACAACTATGCACAGGCTTCCTCTCTCTCACACACTCACACACACGCACAGTGAAATAACTGAAGACCTCAGCACCTCAGTCCTGCCAGGAAAGTATTTACTTTCCTCGCCATCCCATCAAGAGAACACACATACAGAACGCAGTGAAGTCACACACATGCAGGGTTGTTTCTCATTCATAGCTTATTCCATTTGCATATGAAATGGCACTGGCGCAACAGCAGCTTCAAAATCTGATTATCTGGTCAGACAATATACTAGTTAACAAAACCTGCTATGAGCTAAAAACAATTTCACTTGATTCAGTTCTTGTGCAGTAACAGGCGGGAAAGCTGGATTTTAATTGGGATGAGGAGACTGGCTGAAACCTTATCTGTAGAAAGCTGCAGTGTACGGCATTATTTCATCTCCTCGTGTCCTAAAAAATATAACAAAAACATTGGAGAATGGAAAAAGTATGACCTCAGACGTTGTAACCTTACAGATATAATCCAGTCATTCTGCTGGGGGCCTAACCTGTTTAACGGCAGTCTATACATCATACTGTATATCTAATTTAAGGCTGAGCTGACTGGTCTTTTAAGAGGCAGTTTTGAAATCACATTCCAGTTTCCCCACCCTAACAGCAAATTATTTCTACTCCCACGAGACGCGTGATTTCAGACTCAAAGTTGGAGCAAATCACTTGCAGATTACTTCATCAGTTTATTAACCTGAGGGTTCTGGGATTCAAGTTGAAGTATAAACAACCTCATCTTCAAGCGACAATATAAAAAAATAAATAAATAAATAAAAAGCACTGGAATGTGCATTTGGTTCCATCTCAACAACAACATATATTCAGAGTCAGATTTGATGCCAGGCACCATGGTGAAAATCTACAGCAAAAAACGTGCCCCATAATTGGTAACAGTCTCTGAACTTAAGTAAGGAAGGTAGGCTGCAATTAATCCCAGCACAATGAGGACCCTCTGCAGAGCGTGCTCATGTATTTGTTATTGTACGTCACCACAGGGCCACTCTGGAGCCCATCGGACACAGTGTCTAAATACATAGCAATCAAATGTTTTTCTTCCAACATATCTCCCACTAATGTCTCGGTAACAATTACTAAAGGTTATCGAGGGGCATCTATCACCAGACTGTGACCTACATGAACTCACCCTCATTTCCCCCATAACATGCCTCAGTGCCTTATTGCTTCCTCATTAAAATCCCTGAATCAGGCCGTTTAAATTGAGCTGTACTACAACCCTCCGTGAGAACTGGAGGAGAGATGATGGGAAAGGCAGTTTAGAAAAATTTTGAATGTAGCTGGCACTTCTTATCTACCACAAACTAGCAAAGTTGAGAAATGGTATTTGCCATGTTGCATTAGCCTGCTGCCGTCCCATCAACACCAGCCATTCTCAGCAACAACATGATCCAAATGCAGTCCAGATGTCTCAACCATCAAGCTTCAATATCTCACTAGCCCTGCATTAATCTTATCAGGTGTGTAACAGAGCCCAGCTTGACAACATCTCACACGCGTTTAGAAGATCGGTGCCTGCAGCTGACTCTGGCTTCACTAGAAACTGCTCTTAAGTTACAACAAACAATTATCACCTTCTTTTCTCAGTATCAAAACTAACATACAGATGGCAGCAAATCAGTCTATTCTTAAGAATTTGCCTATCAGGCCCACTTTCCTTTCTTGATGCTCTCATCAGTGGGCAGTTTCTTACCAGTGAAGACAAAATGAAGAGTTTGGGAAAACTGTGTATTGTCAGCTGACTTTACATAAACACAATCATTTGGGAAAGCAGATGTGTCTATTCACATTCTGTAATAAATAACACCTGGCAACTACTTGCAGACTCATTTCTACTATCTGCTGAGCTTTAAGTGAATGTAATTATTAACACACTATAAACGAAATGCTAGCTAAAAGAACTCTAAGCCTGAGAAAGCCATAACAACAGTTTCAGTACAGTGATAAGAAACATTTTCCTCACAATGCTGTAAATGCTTGAGATTTAGCATTTAAGTGTCCGTCAGCAGCACAACACTGACGCAGCTGAAGCCAATACGAATTCAATGCCAGTTAAGTAAGCTAGTTACTCATTTAATTTCCAGAGCTAAGCCTGGGATGCCTTCACACCATGCAAAGACCCTTTTCCTCTCTTAAGATTTCTTGTCCTTGGAGTGAAAATCCTGTTTGATTGGTCCTGTTTTCAAGGTCCAAAGCCTGTTTCCCTCAGGGCCAAGGTCACACTGGTTTCCCCAGTTATGGCCTTCCAGGATCAGTCTTCCTCTGAGGAGAGCTGGGCTCCTTCATCGTGAACTTCTCTGTAGGCAGCCATGGGGCCACCATCAGGAGTGTAGCTCCCCATGGAGATCTTCAAACCCTCAGACAGTTTCTGGGCTGCCAGCTTGGCCTGCAACTCCTGAAATTAAACACAACACAGAGAAAAGCTGACATGAATAGGCTGATAAACAGTAGACAGGCACATTATTATAAAGCAGCACAGCCATAGCTATTAAACCTTCAACAAAAGTAGGACTGATACTAAGCTTAACAGGCCTCTGTAAGCTGACAACAGCACACTGTTTGATGTTTGGCTCTGGAGTGACACACAGCGGCTGCACTGCCTGAATACTGCCCTCTAGAGCTGGTGGGGAGACGGATATTTCAAGCTTGGATTCATTATCAAGTCCACATTTGATTAGACAAAAAATGTCACAAGTCACCACTGTATAAACTTGATTTGTTTAAAATGCTGCATTCAGGTGCAATACCAACACCAAACTCACTGCTGCCAAATCAGTCTGATGTAATAATGTTTCAACAGAAACCTGAAGGTTGCTATTTTCACACATTACATGGCATGCTATGATTGTGATTAAAATAATTTCCACAGCTCTTAACATAATGTATACATTTAGTTTTTTAAGAAGGTACAAATATCAGGAAGTATTATGTATTAATGGCAAACAATAAATCCTTGTTCTGTTTTTAACTGAATTACAGTGAGGAACAGAAGTATTTGAACACCCTGCGATTTTGCAAGTTCTCCCACTTAGAAATCATGGAGGCGTCTGAAATTCACATTGTAGGTGCATTCCCACTGAGAGACAGAATTTTAAAAAAAAATTTCAGGAAATCATATTGTATGATTTTTAAAGAATTTATTTGTCTTGCACTGCTGAACATAAGTATTTGAACACCTGAGAAACAGCAAGAATTCTGGCTCTCAAAGACCTGTTACTGTGCCTTGAAAAAGTCCACCTCTACTCCACTCAATCTAAATTAGTAGCACCTGTCTGAGCTCTTTAAAGACACATGTCCACCCCACAGTCAGTCAGACGCCAACTACTACCATGGGCAAGACCAAAGAGCTGTCAAAAGACACCAGAGACAAAATTGTGGACCTCCACAAGGCTGGAAAGGGCTACGGGGCAATTGCCAAGCAGCTTGGTGAAAACAGATCAACTGTTGGAGCAATTGTTAGAAAATGGAAGAGGCTAAAGACGACTGTCAGTCTCCCTCGGACTGGGGCGCCAAGCAAGAACTCACCTAGGTGGGGTATCACTGATGATAAGAAAGGTGAGGAATCAGCCCAGAACGATAGGGAGGAGCTGGTCAATGACATGAAGAGAGCTGGGACCACAGTTTCAAAGGTCACTGTCGGTAGAACACTACGCCGTCATGGTTTCAAATCATGCATTGCACAGAAGGTTCCCCCTGCTCAAGTCATCACATGTCCAGGCCCGTCTGAAGTTTGCCAAAGACCATCTGGATGATCCAGAGGAGGCATGGGAGAAAGTCATGTGGTCAGATGAGACCAAAGTAGAACTTTTTGGTCTCCCTCAGTAAGAGCACTGAAGATGGGTCGTGGCTGGGTCTTCCAGCATGACAATGACCCCAAACACACAGCCAGGGCAACTAAGGAGTGGCTCCGTAAGAAGCATTTCAAGGTCCTGGAGTGGCCTAGCCAGTCTCCAGACCTGAACCCAATAGAAAATTTATGGAGGGAGCTGAAACTCTGTGTTGCCCAGCGACAGCCCCAAAACCTGAAATCTAGAGGAGATCTGTGTGGAGGAGTGGGCCAAAATCCCTGTTGCAGTGTGTGCAAACCTGGTCAAGAACTACAGGAAACATTTGACCTCTGTAATTGCAAACAAAGGTTTCTGTACCAAATATTAACACTGATTTTCTCAGGTGTTCAAATACTTATGTTCAGCAGTATAAGACAAATAAATTCTTTTAAAACTCATACAATGTGATTTCCTGAAAATTTTTTTTTAATTCTGTCTCAGAATGAGAATGCACCTACAGTGTGAATTTCAGACCCCTCCATGATTTCTAAATGGGAGAACTTGCAAAATCGCAGGGTGTTCAAATACTTCTGTTCCTCACTGTATAGTCACCATATGTATTTATAGAAACATTTTGTTTACTGTACAAAAGACTGTGTTCAGAACGACTTTAGCACTGTGTGAAGACACAAAGCCCTGTCATTATTTCAAGTGAGGCCAGTCCAGGGGTGTCGACACACAAGAGGCTCCTCCTGCAAAAAAATGCAGGGTTGTTCAAAAATATAGTCAAACCTGCAAAACTGCTGCTTGACTATAATAGAACATCACTTGCAAGGCACTATGATGGACAATCAAATACGTGCAAGCAAAATGTCTGTGAGCTTACCATTTTGTAACATGCCTAGTCCTTGCAATTAAAGATAAAATCATGCTGATAAAACCGCAGTGGCTAACAGAGCTGTAACATGCTTTCTCATAATATAAAACACTGTAGTAGCAGGGATGTCCCAATCCAGTTCTTTTGGCCCAGATACTGATCTAATGCCTTTAATATAAAGCATCTGCTGATACTGGCTTGGTTCCAAAATATTAACTTTATTAGCTTAAATTATTGATATGAATAAAAGAATAACAGGGAGCTGGACAACACACAGAGAACTGCAGATGCCAACTACTACTTCATATCCTTATGTGAACAGAGTTGGTGTAACTGGTCTGGTTCAGATATCTGTTTGACAATTTAATAACACGCATTAACAAAAAGGTGGTAGCTGTAGTAGCACCAATGAACAAATGCATAAAACTAACCATGTCTACAGTGAAAGCATATCTCACGTGCACATTGCAAGAGGCTCGCATCTTCACTCTCTCATAGGAAACTATAAAAACACACAGAAGAACCGAGAGAAAGACTTTGGAGAAGGGAAAATTAGGGTCCAGAACTCCGACAAATAAATTGTGAGGGAATCACTGGCTACACTTGCATGTTACAGTATATTCAATCCACACTCTAAAAAGAACTGCCATGTTCATTGTGACTGATGTAACAGATGATTCATCATGTATTTTAACTGTTGTTGCTTGATGTCTTTTTCCGTTTTGGTGGAGTTCTGGTTGGAACTAGTGAGCTTTCATCGTTTTGTTGAACTCTGTTGAGCACAGCTCCAAAAAAAGTAGACTTGAAGCTAAAAATAGGCTTCAGGTGCCATCCCAGGCAGCGTAGACAGCTGGATTGATTAATATAGCAGCTTATTGTTTGGTGGCACATGTGCCTCTACTGAGTCTGCTGAAATACAGGAGCGGAACTGGATTGGTTTCATTCTGACTAATACTGATCCTGTGAAATATGCCTGTTTCTGAGTCGATACGGATGCTTGGCATCGGATCAGGACATGTCTATTGTGTAGTGTTTTGCTGCCGAATAAACTTTCAAAATAGCGCATTTGTTACTCTGGATTGTGATTTCATGTCTCACTAAAGCAACACACCTGCCTCTTGCATTTTTTAACACAGGGCTGTTCTCAGTGTCAACACCCACCAAATCCTTTTAAGTCACCACTGCTCATTTTAACCAAGGCATCCAAATACTCACCATGTTGCCACCCAAGATGGTGAGGACCTTATTGAATTATTCAATGAAATTTCTGGCCCTGTCAGTTTGCCTACAGTTTAATTTATGCACTGTCTCGGTGGCACTAACCTGCTGCTTCTTCAATTGTTCCTCCTGGAGAATGGCCGACTCTTCCAGAGACAGAAGCTGGACCGGATTGTAGTGGAGCGGAGGGAGTTTGGCTGCAGTGATGTCATCCAGGTGTTTTCTGTCCTGCTCTCTCCTGGCCTGAGTAGAGAGTGGCGATAAGCCTTCAGAGAACTGCCTGGGTGACAAGGATCCTGATGGCGAAATGTTATTTCTGTGGGGCAGCCTGGAAACACAGTTAAGAAAGTGTCACTTAATTATGAAAACAACATAATTATCTGAGTATTTTTGTTATAAATGTATAGAAAAGTAACTGTCATATCATAAAAGTCTACTTACTGATTTGGTTTGAATTTTTGCTTCCTAGGAGCTGAAGTCTTCTCTGTTTTTTCCAAGATAGTTACATAGTGAGACTTTTTTGGTGGCTCCTTTCTGAGAAAGTAATTGTCTCTTGCCATACTGTTTAATGGGTCTTTGGACTCACAACTGAAACCAATAGTAGTTTCAGACAGTCTGACCTGTTCAAAGGCCTCCACAAGGTCACTGTGTTTTGTCTGATCAGAGTTCAGAGAGGCCTCAGCAGCAGCCGTCTCCATTGTTTCACCAGACGCTGCTCTAGAGAGAAACGGATCCCCTTGCTCATCCGAAGCAGCATTTTCCTGCACAAGTGCTGGGACAGGTGAGATCCCCTTCTCCTGTACTTTACTGCAAGCAGTAGCCTCATGTTGCCTGTTTTGGTGTGAGGCTGCAGGTGTGTTGAGGACAACATGCTGTTGCATAGTGAAAGCCTGCTGGTACTTGGACTGTAACTCTGCCCTGGCAGCAGACACCAAGCTCTGTCTCCTCTCCTCTTCACTGCAGTGTTCAATGGCAAGTCGCACTTTCTCCACAAATTCTGATATCTTTTTTCCTTTGTCAGGAAGAGTCTGTAATAACCTCCTAGGAACAACACAACCATCATTTTGTGCTAGATTCAAAACACTCGCTGAAGATACAGATGGAAAACATTATATGAATACAGAAACACTAAATGTCTCATGTATAATGCTAACACTGTACACTCTATTACTACCTGATATAATATTGCTGTATAACTCATAATAGTTACAGTAGTTCATAACTATTTTGACCACAGTTCCTTCTTTTCATTGAAAAACATTACTCTTGCTTACATTCATATTAGTCACATTTAAAACTGGCTCCACTGGTGACATCTATTTGTCCATAAAAATGATTTTCACATTTCCTTTAAAATACTTTTGACATCTATTGGTTCATAAAGGACTGAGATAACCCTTGTTAATGAATCCTGTACCGTACCGTTCACAATGCATTTACATACAGCGTGGTGCATACGTACTTATTAACAACTCTGTTATAGTTTGTGTTATTGAACATAAAGATGATTTGTGATCTGTCAAGCTTCAGACGCATAGTGTTGGTAGAAGACCAAACATCCTCTGCTGTATTCAATCACAGTGGAGCAGCTCTCATTAGAATTAGCAATAAACTTATTACTGTGCTGAAGTCACAGACATGGAACACATGCACATCAACATACATATGGATAGTGTAATGGAAAATTTTGTTTCCATCTTATCTCTGTTGCAAGGGTGATGAAGCTTCCTGTATTTATAAAACTATGCTTTTCTAAATCATTTACTGTATGTAGTCTCAGGATAGACTAATCAACTTACTGAGACGGTGCTTATTTTCATGGCAAGTGTTGCTGCTATCAAATAAAAACTTATAGATGAGATCTGGATTTTGGTATTTTCATGTGTGTGTGTGTGTGTGTGTGTGTGTGTGCGCATTTGTGTGTATGACCTGGTTGGGAGGGGACAAGTGCAAAAATGCTATTCGTTACATTTTAGAGAGTAACTATGCTTTAAGGTAACTTAGGGGTTATGGAACTGAATATCAATGGCAAGTTCCCTGGATCCATAAAAATTAGAATTTAGTAGAATGTACATGAAGGCATGAAACAGCTATATTAGAACACACTAAAATGAGGTTAATCCAAAGCGACCTTTTGGATAAACTTCAAGAGACTTCATAGCCTACGTACAGAGGAGCTGCATTTTCAGTTTAAGAAGTAGGTAGATTTGAGAAATAGTTTGATGTGAGCAGTTGACTATTGCATTGCTAAGTTTGGTTTTGCTATGGGGGCTGCACAAAGCACAAAAAAACAAAAAAAGCGGAGCCACAAAAAAAGAGACTAAGGTACAGCAGAAGAAAACGCTGGAAGCTAACCTACAACACCAGCTGACCACCCTGAAGAATGATCTTCAAGTTTTAACAGGCCAACAGCACTCTCAAAGAGAGACATTTATTGGAAGACAACAAGGTCCTCAAGGAGCAGTTAGAAGATGCTCGGCAAGATCTTAACCTCAACAGGGAAGCTAGCTTACCACAGCTGCTGACCAAACTGAAGAATGATCTTCAGCTTTCACAGGCCAACAGCACTCTCAAAGAGAGACATTTATTGGAAGAGAAGAAGGCCCTCAAGGAGCAGCTAGAAGATGCTCAGTGAGATCTTAAACTCAACAATGAAGCTGCTGACCCAAACTGTCTTACAGTGCAATAACCAGGTGACCAACATGAAGTCTGAGCTAGCTATAGAAACAACCCGCTTGGAAACTGAGCGGCAACTTCGTAAAACACTGGAGGCAGAAACTGAGTCCACTCGCACCCACCTGGTTGAAGCCATAAAGGAGGCTGAGCGTTGCCTGGCAGCTCACAAAGTCACAGAGAAAGCTCTACATTCAGAGAAAGTGAAACATCAGCATTTTATAGACAAACTCACAGATGAAGCAACCAGTCAGCGTGAGACAATCAGCAGCTTGTCCCAAAAATTGGCCGCAGCAGGGACTCGTGCAAACAGCATGGAGAATAAGGTCCACCAGGTCACACAGCAGCTGACAGAGAAAGGCTTACTGCTGGAGGTCCTACAGAAGGAGAAAGAGCAGGCAGCTGTGCGTGTCAAGGAGTTAGAAACTGCTCTTCAGTCCAAGAGGGAGCTGATCAGCCATGCTAAAATTTGCCGAGATCAGCTGAAGAGCCTGAGTCACAGCAAGGACCAGCTTGAGCAGAGTAAGAGGCAGCTGGAGGAGGAGGTACGAGACCTGAGATATTGCATAGAGTCCATGCAGCAGTACCGTTGTGATGCAGAGGAGAGGGCCTATAAAAATATACAACAAAAACTAGAGCAGGTCAATATCCTCCAGCAGTCCCAGGAGGCAAATGATGCGCACTCTGCTGGAGCACAAGATCTTCGAGCTGGAGAGGAAACTGGGCGAGGCTCGCACGACCCAGCAGGATATCCTTAACCAGAGAGACTCCACACACACAGAGCTAGAGCGATATCGCCAACTCTACACTGATGAGATGCATCTCCGCAAATCACTGGCTGTCAAACTAGAAAGGACAGAGAGTCAACTGTCAAAAGCCAATTTCATATTGGTCTGTGAGCACAATAGGTCTCTTATCACCAGCAGCACTGCAAATAGTAGCAGGGTGGAGGACCATCTGGCTACATACGGAGTGAGTTGGATCGAAACATATCAAGGTATTTAAACAATTCCAGAGCAGAGCAGAACGCTGCCTCTACGCACTGGGAGCCGGACCACGTCAGTAGGGGGACAGACTGCTTGGAGGTACTAAAGAGGAAGTATATGATCTGACAGACCTCTGCTCATAAATAATCATAACTAGATATATTTCAGCTAAAAACAAAACAAAACAAAAGTCACACAAAAACAAAAAAAGGGCAGCACAGCGGCGCTGTGGTTAGCACTGTCACTGCACAGTAAGAAGGTTCTGGGTTTGCGCCCTGGCCAACACGGTGCCTTTCTGTATGGAGTTTGCATGTTCTCCCTGTGCTGCATGGGTTCTCTCCGGGTACGCCGGCTTCCTCCCACAGTCTAAAGACATGCAGCTTAGGTTGATTGGAGACTCTAAATTGCCCCCAGGAGTGGTTGTGTATCTAGCCACAGGGGTTTCACATCAGTTACTTCTGTGCCGGTCCCAAGCCCAGAAATTCCTCCTTGTGCAGGTCTGATCCATAGCTACAGGAAGCGCCTGGTTGAGGTTATTTTTGCCAAGGGGGGGTCAACCAGTTATTAATTCCAGGGGGTTCACTTACTTTTTCCTCTACCATTTTGAATGTTGAATGAGTATCTTCAATAAAAACATGAAAGATCAGAATTTTTTGTGTTGTTATATTAGGCACATTATATTAGTCAGTACTCTTGATTTAGATCAACCGTATTTCTGCTAAGGCTTACATTTGCAAACACCTGCTTTTTGTCTGGACACAGACGTTGCACACTTTCATCATGCAGCTCTTCAGAAACTCTCCCTCGGGGTTGATTTTCTCCTCTGCCTCAATAAAACTTGCTTTCACAGCAGCATCACTGTGTGATTTCACTTTGGTGAAAATGTCTGCTGTGATGTCAGATTCCTCTTCAACTCCTCTACCTTCTGTAGCTTCTGCTCTGCATTAACGTTTTTCAGCTTTAATTACAGCCACATTAGCTCCACAATTAAGACACGGGTTTACCGGCAATGTCAGTAAACATACTCAGCCTCCCACCGGTTTAGAAAGGCTCTGTTTTCAGAATCAACTTTTCTCTTAGCTTTGACCTAAAATTAGGGTTGTATACATCAACAGACGCTTGATTGATCTGACGTAATAGTCGCAGGACGTAATTGACGCAGGTAGCCTATAGTTCGGTAAGCCAACTGTTGCGCTGCACTATGGGATTTGTAGTTTGTGTGTTATCGGTGCTTCATATCGCCGGGCCATTAAAATATATATATATATCGCGGGCCGGATGTGACCCGCGGGCCTTGATTTTGACACATGAGCCTTAGATGAAGATCAGATCACATTTTATGACAAATTAATTTAGAAAACAATGAAATTCCAAAAGGTTCACATACTTTTTCTTGCCACTGTAAATACAGACTGTGTTCCATGTCTGTGCATGCTAGTGTTTGTTTTGTATGCGTGTGTATGAGAGAATTATACATGTCTCTTCTCTCATACCTTTACCATTATCAGACTACATACTTTGATTGCAGTTGTACGCCAGGAATTTCCACTTTAAGTGTAAACTTACTTCCACAATGTATGTCTCGTATGTATCACAGGCAAACATGTGAAATACAACTAGGGTTAACAATGTGAACTTACTTGTTAGAGAGTATTTTTTCCTGTCGGAGCAACAGCTCTTGGAGCTGTTCTTTGCTCTGGTTTGTCAGGTCCCCCACCTGTCCCTGGCGCTCTGAGGACATCACTGTTAGCTAATAACAGCTAGCTGCAACCACTCACAACAGACGAGCTAACATCTCGCCTTAACATCTAACTTAAAAACTACACCTATAAGTTAACCAGCTGAAAACACTGCCTGTTAACGGACTCTTTCTATTAAAGAGCTTTAGAAACTTCTAGAAACAACTGGTTCACTTCTCCAACTCATGCAACAACATTTTTAAGTCTTCTTCCTCTTCGTCTTCTTCTTCTTCCTGAGCGGAAATCAAACCTGTGAATCGGCTCGTTACCGCCCCCACTGTACAAAGCGCTGTAATACACTTACTCTTTATGCTCCAGCCTTGGTCCCAGTCAGTAGAGGCAACTTGCTGCCCTCTATCGGTCAAATGTTGTAATCAACACCAAACTATGGATTTCATAGCGAAGGCTGTTGCTCCAATTTCCACATGTAAGACATTTCTTTGTTCTCTGTAAACAATGCAGTTACTGTGAACAGGCTTCACAGTCTCAGATTTTCCACAGCTGCATTTCCATTCCGGATGTTTCCCAACCACTGTGCCAACACATCTCACACAGCTCAGAGACAATGACCCCAACCTTAAACAAGAAGTTACAGTTGTGCCTTTTCTGTCCCCTCTCAAAGTTTAAAGCCAATTTAACTCTTGGCTGTACAGCTAGAATAAAACTTCAGGAAACAAATCGAAATAATCTTAGAAAAAATCAACTGGGCTTGGATTTCTAGATCGAAGACGTTTCACCTCTCATCCAAGAGGCTTCATCAGTTCTGACGGACTGGTGTGGAGCAGGAGATATTTATCCCCATCGGTGGTGTTTCAGTCCTTTGAAGGCCAACAATGTCCCTTAACGACTGAGTCGTTACAGCCCAGTATCAGTGAGAGTCGTTACCTGTCTTTGGATCCTCCCCTGTCAACCGACGCCTATTGTTCTGGTGGGCATGTTTGGGCAGAGATCTCAAAACAGGGTTGTAGATGGAAGACAAGTTGTGTCTTAGTCCACCACCCCTATTTAATGAGGGGTGTTCTATTTTTACAAAAATAGCTTCCTTGACTCCTCTCTCAAACCAACGATGTTCTCTGGAGAGGATCTGGACTTCACTGTCCTCAAAAGAATGTCCTTTGTCCTTCAGGTGGAGGTGGACTGCTGACTCTGGTCCACTGGAGTTGGCCCTTCTGTGTTGGGCCATGCACTTGTGAAGCGGCTGCTTAGTTTCACCAATGCACAAGTTGTTACACTCCTGACTACACTTAATTGCATACACCACATCACTCGGTTTATGTCTCGATGTTTTGTCCTTCGGCTGGACCAGTCTCTGCCGCAGGGTGTTCCCTGGTTTAAAGTTAACTGGGATATTGTGGTTGCGAAATATCCTTTTTAGCTTCTCTGATAAACCAGCCACATAAAGGATGACAGTGTTATCCCCTCTTGTTTCTGGTTTCTCCCTGTTGGTGTTGGGCCTCTT